CAGTCCGTCTGGTTTAAGATGTGGACATTATAGATTATTGTCCAACTCACATATTCAGGTGTAAATATTGTAAAATCGCAGGATTCCTCACAGGGTTGAATAATGTTTCCAAGTTTGGTAAAATTAGCACCAATCAGCAAAATATGTATATACAGGGACCCACATAAAATCAATAGAGACAACCCCATAATTTGCACTTAAATAGACATTATAGTGTGAGGAATACAAAACTGTATTCCTTACACTAAAGTGTTCCTTTGCCCCCCTCCTCCTCACCCCTCCTCCCTGCAGCTCTGAAATGGTTAAAAAAGACATTTATTTTGCCCACTTTATTCTCTTGATGATGGCTCCGACGCCGACATCAGCACAGAGGAGGAATCTACTGAGCATGCGCGGCGAGTATCAGGCTCGCATTAGGCCTTCCCCATAGGAAAGCATTGAATTAATCAGATGAAGTGGTCTGAGTGCCTATAGTGTCCCTTTAAACACTTCATGAAAACAGGGAGGGAGGGAACACTGTAAGGAGAGAAAGACAATGTCTCACCTCCTCTAATGCAATGTGTGCCCTGGCTGTGCCTAGATTGTATTAGATTGTGATGCAAATTGCTAAATCATTAATATACATTTAAATGGAAACTGCCTATCACATTAAAAAAAAAGGTTAACGGTGGCCACGCTACGATCCAAGATGGACGCGTAAGCCACGAGCTCCTGCATAAGGGTCACACAATCAGCGACAAGCACAGCACACAGTGCCGCACAACCGACCCCACCTGGGTACCTGGCAGACATGGCACAGAGAGCAACGAAAAAACCGAGGCAGAGAGCCGCGGATTTGCAAATTACAGCCCGCACCTCGCCGCAACTGAAATTTCAAGATGGCGCCGACGGCCCGTCTTCCCCGGCATCCTGCTCTGATAGGAGCGACGGTACATCCGTCTCTTTGCTGACCTCTGCACCAGCCACAGACTCCTCAATTCAGAGGATGCTAGCAGACCTCAAGAGCTCCATGCAGGCTGAATTTACAAAACTGGCAAGGGACATCAAAGCAGATATCCAGGCCATAGGTGAGCGAACCGCCCATTTAGAAGACAAAACGGACGAGATCATCACAGCACACAACACATTGGCAGATGCTCACGCAGATATGGCTGCCAGACTTGATCTACTCACTGACAAGGTAGCAGACCACGAAGACCGAGACAGGAGGAGTAACATACGCATGAGAGGTATTCCAGAAGATGTAGCACCACAAGACCTGGCATCATATGCTACAGACCTCTTTCAAGCAATATCCCCAGACCTATCTCAATCAGACCTCCTCCTAGATAGGATTCACCGCCTACCACGACCGAGAAATCTGCCGCCATCTCTCCCACGTGACACTATAGCCAAGTTTCACTATTTCTCATCTAAAGACAAGATTATGAGAGCCTCAAGGCTTCTCCCCGAATTTCCGGGCAGATTTGCCAAAGTACAGCTCTACATCGACCTCTCAGCTGCCACGCTTCTCAAAAGGAAAATGCTTGCAACCATAACAACAGCCCTGCGAGAAGCGGATATTCACTACAAGTGGGGGTTTCCAGCACGGCTGATAATCCGTCGAAATGGAGTGGAAAAACATATTACCTCGGTAGAAGAAGGCAAGAGAATGCTTAAAGAATGGAATGTCCCTTTCAGAGTACCTCCAGACAACGCTACACTAAATCTATCCCAGCGCTCCTCGACACAGGTCTCCAGGGACTGGAACACCACCTCCACGGCCAAATGACTTTAGCACATAATGTATACTATGATATAACGCTCCAACCTAACCTCACCTCCACGGACTGGTAACGTTATTATAAGCTCCTCACATACTGCCATAATATACAGCATGTACTTCCCTGTTTCACCATTTTCAGAGTTCTTACGCTGTTTTACAGCCCACTATGCTTACTCCTTTCTCTGTACCATTGTGCGACAATAGTGAATCTCAACGAGCTTCGCGACCCAACGTAGATAAGCTTTACACTGCACGTCCCAACAACCCTGCACAGGCATTAGTGACAGGACCCCACCAAAGGGCCCTATGTTTGCACACAAGTCCCCTGCAGGGCATTCCATTGACTTCCCCCCATTAGGCCACTACTGGCCTCCTTACCGCCGTCTGTACGCTTTGGTACGACTTCCGACGGCTCTTTGTATATAGTTATTCTGTTTTTACTGTTTTTCTGTATTTATATGTTTTTCCTGGTGTCACATATTGCAATATCGACCCACCTACAGGACATGCAAGGCCCACACAAACTAGCTTGTCCTACCTCACTCCCCTCTAAGATATACATCATTATGGCAACCCGCGTACCTGGCAAAACCCCATATTTGCTTAACTGGCAGACAGCCATAGCCCAGCACAGGGGTGCTGACATGATTTATGGTTTACAGATTGTCATAGAAGTGAAAAGAGAGATAAATCACAAAATGTCTCGAAGGGCAACCCTGCCTAGATCTCCACCATGACTCTCACAATCCTATCGTTAAACACCAAGGGTCTTAACACACCCCATAAGAGACGCCTAGCGTTAGCAGAAGCTAAGAAACACAAAGCCCTAGTAGTCTTTTACCAAGAAACCCACTTTAAATGGGGACATAGACCGAAATTCAACTCCACTTTCTACCCCATAGATTTCCACTCATGCTACACAACAAAAAAACGAGGGGTATCCACTCTGATCAGCAAAGACGTATCCTTCACACTCGTTAAAAAAATAGGAGACAAACATGGTAGATACTTAATCATCCAATGCTACATAAACAATAACCCATACACGTTGGTGAATATATATGGACCGAATGAGAACCAACATGAGTATATGACCAAAGTTTTTGGGCTAATCTCTTTGTACCGCTTTGGAGATGTAATTCTGGGAGGTGACACTAACTGCCTATTGGACGCTTCCTCAGACACCTCCTCCAAACACTCACGACACACTAAAACTGCTAACAAACTAACAACCCTAACCTCTAAAATAACACACACTATCCTCTCCCACGACTTCGTGGATCCCTGGAGGATTCTTCATCCCACGGCCATAGATTATACCTTTCACTCAGCAGTGCACAATACGTATACGAGAATCGACCGGTTTTTGATACCGGCCAACTACATGAACAAAATCCAGCAGGCAACAATAGGCCCTATTACGTGGTCAGACCATGCGCCCATAACATTGACTATTCAGGAACAACACCCGCCCACAGGAAAGGGCACTTGGAGACTTAACGACACTTTACTTACAAACAAAGACACAGTAGCAGCAATCCAGAAAGACATAGAACAATATTTTATTGAAAACCCCTCAGAAGACACGAGCATTGAAACAGTATGGCAAGCACATAAGGCTGTCATAAGGGGCACACTCATTAAAATAGCTAGCTATCAGCATAAACAACGTACATTGCGCTATACGAAACTCAGAAAAGACATCACAGAATTGACACATAAAAACAAACAACAACCGTCAAAAGACACACAACAGCAACTAGCCGCATTGCAAAAAGAACTTCACAACTATGAACTAGCGAAAACTACCCATCTCCTCCAGCGATACAAACACAAATTCTTTACCACAGGTAATAAAGCAGGGGCATTACTAGCCGCACAACTAAAAACCCACTCACAACAAACAAAAATTGCACATATCCAAACTCCCCAAGGTAAAAAATTGATAAATCCACAGGCAATCGTGGACGAATTCGCACTCTATTACAGCTCCCTCTACACTCTTAAAGACGGAGCAGACATAGTCCCACCCTCCCCGCTCTCCATCACCCACTTCTTACAATCTGTTGACGTCCCCAAACTGCAAGACTCCGACATAACGACCCTCACCTCACCATTTACGATGGAAGAAGTAGAGCAGACAATCCGAGACTTACCCAAACAAAAAGCCCCAGGGCCGGATGGCTATACCAACCTTTACTACCAGACTTATACCAGCCTACTTACGCCTCACCTCACAAACCTATACAACTCCTGCTACACCTCGGGAACAGTACCGCCAGATATGCTCATAGCCCACATATCGACCTTACCCAAACCTGGGAAACCCCCAACTCATTGCCAAAATTTTAGACCAATTTCCCTTATCAATGCGGATGTCAAAATCTATGCCAAACTGCTGGCCAATAGACTATCCAACTTTCTGCCCACGCTGATACACAACGATCAATCAGGGTTTATTAAAGGCAGACAGGGTTCGGACAACACACGGAAGGTCCTCAACATACTGGCACACATGCATGGTACGCGCGCTCAGGGTCTACTCCTGGCCTTGGATGCAGAAAAGGCCTTTGACAGGGTCAACTGGGAATACATGCGGCAAGTCCTACAAAAATTTGGCTTCCCGGCTGGCCTTGTCTCAGGCATCATGGCCCTATACAATAGCCCACAGGCGAGGGTATCCAATTCTGGTTTTCTATCCACACCTTTTAATATTACCAACGGTACTAGGCAGGGGTGTCCTTTGTCACCGCTACTGTATATCCTGTCCCTAGAGCCCCTGGCAGCTACCATTAGGCAACAAAATATAGTCCAGGGCGTAAACATAGGAAACCACACATTCTGCCTCTCCATGTTTGCAGATGATATCCTACTCACGGTCCAAGAACCCGAAACATCTGTCCCGGCACTAATACAACTGCTCCAGCAGTATGGACAACTGTCCTACTACAAGCTGAATCAAAGCAAAACACAGGCTCTGCCGATTAATCTACCAAGTTCACTGATAACACGACTTAAACAATCACACTCCTTCGACTGGAGAACCACCGACATCACATACCTAGGAGTAAAGCTGGGCCCATCCCCTGCAGACACATTCAAACTAAATTTCAAACCACTCATACCAATGTGCAAAACACATACCCAACAATGGAAAGCAGTTAAGCTTTCCTGGCTGGGAAGAATCAATTCAGTAAAGATGATGCTTCTGCCTAAACTTCTATACAAATTTAGAATGCTGCCGATTTATGTCAACCCGACGTTTTATAAGCACATCCAAGCTATTCTCTCCTCCTTTATTTGGGAATCACGCAAACCACGGCTCGCGATGTCACTTCTCCAAAAACGTGCGGACAAGGGTGGACTGGGGTTCCCAGATATCCATAAATACCACAAAGCATCCTTCCTAGAGGCAGCTATAAAATTCCACACCCCCAAAGGGACTTTTCAATGGGTGGACATGGAAAACGCTAGGGCGCCTGGCGGCTCTCTGGTAGGGATGTTATGGACCCCAGCACACACAAGACCAAACATGCTCCACCTTTTCAATACCTCGATCACCACTATTAAGCAATGGGACACGCTACACCGCACCCAGCATAAACTCAATAAGTTTCACCCGCGGGCCCCGATAACGGCACTGAACTCCCTAACCCCAGGGTTGACTATGAACTCCTGGATAAAACACGGCATAAAACACATAGTAGACACATACCAAGACCATCGACTTATGCCCTTCCCAGATCTTCAACGGAAATTTGACCTACCTAACGCCTCCGTCTTTCAGTATCTCCAACTTCAAAGCATGGCCACATATAAGATACTTACAAAATCAGACATGACATCCACTAACCTACAACACCTAGACCCGTTACATGACCAATGCTGGCTCTCACCTACAAAGCCCAAGGCATTATCTTTATGCTACAACATACTGCTGAACGCCGTTGCCATGAAAACCCCCAACTACGAACAACAATGGCACACGGAATACGACTCCTCGCCATCAGGCAACACCTGGTTGCAATCACTCAACGCACTCAAAGGTATCACCAACTGTTACTCACATCTAGAGGCACACAAAAAGCTGGTTTATAGGTGGTACCTAACACCAAGTAAACTGCACAAAATTTACCCCTCAGTTTCTGAGAGGTGCTGGCGGTGCGGGGGGGCAAAGGGCACGATGTTCCACATATGGTGGGAATGTCCTGTCCTGGCCCCTCTCTGGGGTCACGTTAAAGACATTCTCGAGTTGCTCAATATTACCACGGTCACACTGGACCCCTTAACATGCTTATTCCTGCTACTCCCACCTTCCTTGACCAAACCCCTTAAACAAGTGACGATACTCACAATCCTGGCTGCTAGAAACCTCATAGCGCAGGGATGGAAACACACCCACTGCCCCACTAAACAACAACTGATGGACAAACTCCACCAATACTATATTTACGAACAATTGTCCACTACTTCCATCACACAATCACTGAGATTCCAAGACACATGGAAAACATGGGCTGATATCTACACACCAAATAAGAGACAAGATAAAGACCACGCGACATACCCTAGTAGTAGTAGTGCTCTTCACCCCGAACCTTAACCGCGGGCAACCATATACGCACGCGGACAGAAGGGTGCCTAAACACTTCATAAGGGGCACAACACACCCACAGACAACTTAGGTGACACCTCATATGTTGATACATGTTCGATGTTATATAGATGTTGTTACAGACAAGCGGAAAACTTTATTACCCCCTGGTTACCCCTCCCTTCCCCTCCTCATCTCCTGCCACAAAAACGCAACCTATGACACTGTTTTAGATCAGACCAGGGAAAGTAGTCACCCAGTACCCTCCAAGCGAGACCTCGCTATAAATACTATAGGCATACAATGTACAGGTGATCTAAACAACGATGTACGATGTACTTTAACATGAAATGTTAATTGGTCCTAAATTGCGATTGTGATCTGTTGCCCCACCCTCCCTTTTCTCTGTTTCTGTATCCCACCCCTCCTATTGTGTTATCAAAACAATAAAAAACTATGATTTAAAAAAAAAAAAATTCAGCCCTACTGGGT